GCAGTGCAGGGTGATGTTGAGGGTGGTGCATGTATGCACCTAAGTTCCACTGCCAGCCACCCCAAACCAAAACTGCATGCTGAAATTAAAACAGCATCACAAAAATTGTTCTCCATATGAAAAAGTAGAGTAGGGTAGATGCCAACTTAGCGGCCAGAAACCAGGAGCACCATACTGTAAATGCATGTTGTATGCAATGGTCCCTCTAAGCTGTGGAATCTTGTGAGCTAAAATTCTACCTTGTGAGCTACTGGAGTGAGGGATTTGGCTGCTGCATAAAATAGTTCGCTCTGGAGGCATCCTTCCTGAGCTAAGACAAAAAGGTGTGAGCCGGAGACTAAAAGACTGTGAGCTAGCTCACACTAACTCAGCTTAGAGGGAACATTGGTTGTTCCCTCTAACTTCCTTTTTTTGCAGGGGTGAGGTGGGATAGGGAGGGAGTGCCTGTGAGGAATGGCAGCTGCCACACCTAGGCCAAGCCTCCTCCACTGAGGCAGGCAGTGATGGCTGGTGTTGGTGTATTGCTGCGAGACAGGAGGTTCAGTGGACAGATAGACGCTACCCCCTCCCTCTCACTTTCTGAGGCATTAGCGGGCAGGGCTTCTTGTTGTGGTGTTGGTCTTTCATGTAGGTTAACAAAGAAGTCTTGGCACATCAGAGACAGACGTATTTTGAGGTAAGCTGACAGGAGACAGAGGTGGCTTCATTGGTTGGGAGTCATAAAGTCACAACACCTTCTGTGCTACCTACAGGTGTGACTTCATGCTTCTGACAAAGTGGGCGGCATTCACACCAAGCCATTGTTTGGGGGCAAATTAGAACAGTTGTCTGACCTTCACCTGAGTGTTTTTTGGACTTAAGCTGACATGATGAAACAGAGGCTGCTTGCTTGGCTTATTGCATGAGGCATCACCTTCTGTGCTATCTAGAGGTGACACTTCATGCATCAGACAAAGTGAGCCACATTCACACCAAGCCATGGTTTGGGGGCAAATCATTGTTTAGGGAATGTGCAGGGGGTTGAACTAGATGACCGTGGAGGTCCCTTCCAACTCTGTGATTCTACTAGCCGCAGAGATGTCAAACTCATTGGTTGCGCAACGTAAGATGACAGGAGACAGAGGCTGCTTGCTTGGTTCAGGTGCATGAAATGACACCTTCTGTGCTACATACAGGTGACACTTCATGCATCCGACAAAGCAGGCAGCGTTCACACCAGAACATGATTTTTGGGCAAATCATTGTTTAGACCACGGGTCCCAAATCTTTTTGAGCCTGTGGGCAGTGGGCACCTTTGGATTTCCAAAACAGGCTAATCATCTTCTGGGCATGGAACAGGACGGAGTCACTGGTCTGACCTGGGTAGGCTGGGTATTTTTTGGACATAAGTTGATGATGAGACAGAGGCTGCTTGCTTGGCCAGATGCATGAAGAGTCCCCCTTTATGCTAACTAGATGAACACTTCATGGATCTGACAAAGTGGGCTGCATTCACACACCTAGTGATTACTATTAACTTGTGCAGGTGCTGCCTGCCCCGAGTTTATATTCTGCAGAGGTCCTCTGGTTTGAGCTGAGTCCAGTTGGGTTCGGGCAGTGATTGGCACAGCGGCACAGGTTGTGGGGGCCGCCGTGCACTGGTTCTGCTGCTAGGCTGGCTGGCAAATCATTCCTCTTATGCTGCAATGGGCCGGTCCTCTGGTTGTCTGACCTAAGTATTTTTTGGATGTAAACTAATGATGAGACAGAGGCTGTTCACTTGGTCTGGGCACATGAAACCACACCTTCTGTGCTACCTACAGGTGTGGTCATGCATCTGACAAAGTGGGCTGCGTTCACACCAAGCTATGGTTTTTGGACAAATCACTGTTTAGGGAATGTGCAGGGGTTTGGGTTCCCCTGGCTTCCTTGCCTCTGGTAACGTGCTGAGTGGGGAATCGCACACCCCTAGTGATTGCTAACTTGCACAGGTCCTGCCTGCCCCTCTCAGTTTATATGCTGCAGAGGTCCTCTGGTTTGAGCTGAGTCCAGTTGGGTTTCGGTAGTGACTGGCACAGTGGCACAGGTTGTGGGGGCTGCCGTGCACTGGTTCTGCTGCTGGGCTGGCAGGCAAATCATTCCTCTTATGCTGCAGCGGTCCTCTGGTTGTCTGACCTGAGTATTTTTTGGATGTAAGCTGACAGGAGACAGAGGCTGCTTGCTTTGCTTAGTGCATGAGGCATCACCTTCTGTGCTACCTAGAGGTGACACTTCATGCATCAGATGAAGTGGGCCACATTTACACCAAGCCATGGTTTTTGGACAAATCACTCTTTAGGGAATGTGCAGGGGGTTGGACTAGATGACCCTGGAGGTCCCTTCCAACTCTATGATTCTATGACTCTGGCCACAGAGATGTCAGTCAAACGTATTGGTTGCGAGGGCCGGTTGGCACAGGTTGTGGGGGCACTGTGCACTAGTTCTGCTACAGGTCTGGCTAGCAAAACAATCATCTTATGCTGCAGAGGTCCTCTGATCTGAGTATTTTTTTTGGCATAAACTGACAGGAGACAGAGGCTGCTTGCTTAGCTGGATGACCGAAGAGCCACCTTCTGTGCTAACAAGATGTGACACTGTGGGCATCAGACAAAGTGGGCCACGTTCACACCAAGCCATGGTTTTGGGGCAAATCATTGTAGGGAATGTGCAGGCGGTTGGACTAGATGACCCTGAAGGTCCCTTCCATCCAATTCTATGATTCTATGACTCTGGTCACAAAGATGTCAAACTCAGGGCCGGATCTGACATGAATCTCTTTTTGGGGCCGAATAGCACACCCCGTGATTACAAACCTGCACAGGTCCTGCCTGCCCCGCTTAGTTTATGCTGCAGTGCAGGGATTCTCTTGTCTGAACTGAGTCCAGTTGGGCTTGAGCACTGACTGGCACAGTGGCACATGTGGGGGGAGGGGGCAGACTGCCAGCCAGGCCAGCAGCAGAAGAACCAGTGCAAAGTGGCAAGCAAGCAATCCATTCCTCTTATGTTGCAGGGATTCTCTGGTCTGAACTGAGTTCTGTTGGGTTTGGGCACTGACTGGCACAGTGGCATGGGTTGTGGGGGGCAGGCAGATTGCTCTGGTTCTGCTGCTGGCTTGGCTCAGGCTGGCAATGTAAACATGCTCCCTTAGTTTATGTATGCTCCAGAATGATGCAGAGATTCTCTGGTTTGAACTGAGTCCAGTTGGGTTTGGGCACTGACTGGCACATGTTGTGTGTGTGGGGGGGGCAGATTGCACTGGTTCTTCTGCTGCTGGCCTGGCTGGCAAAGTGGCAAGCAATCCATTCCTCTTATGCTGCAGGGATTTTCTGGTCTGAACTGAGTTCTGTTGGGTTTGGGCACTGACTGGCACAGGTTGTGGGGGGTGGGCAGATTGCTCTGGTTCTGCTGCTGGCTTGGCTCAGGCTGGCAATGTAAACATGCTCCCTTAGTTGATGTATGCTGCAGAATGATGCAGATTCTCTGGTTTGAACTGAGTCCAGTTGGGTTTGGGCACTGACTGGCACAGTGGCACTGGTTCTGGGGGGCACATTGCACAGGCTCTGCTGCTGCCCTGGCAAACATGCCCCCTCTCACCACCACCACACACATCACTTAGTTTATTATAGGGAGATCTGCTTGCCTTTTTCCCATCCCCAATTTCCCATAGGAAACAATGGAGAACTGGGGGCACCCTCTTTGGATGCCCCAGGAATTGGACCCCCTGGTCCAATCTTTTCAAAACTTTGGAGGTCTTTTGGGGAGAGGCTCCAGCAACTACAGTCCAAAGTTTGAGCCTCTACTTCAAACCCCCTCCCCCCCAGCAAACATTTCAGATTTTTGCCATTGACTTCAATGGCCCCATTGGATATAATGGACCCAAATTTTTCAGGAATTCCAAAAATGTTCAGATATCTATGCTTTACTGGTATAGATATTCAGGTTTTTTCGGGTTTCCTGAAAAAAATCGGGTTCAATATATCCAAATCTGAATTTTACCGAATATTTTTTACACACCCCTATAGTTAACTCTTTGATACAACTTGAAAGCAAGATGTGCTCAAACTTCAGATTTCACACACATCTTTTCCTATTATATAGCTTCTCATCTTAGTCTATTAAGAGACTCCCTTCTTCCATAAACTCTTAAAATCAAAGCCACATTTTCCTATTATATTAAGAAATTTAAGTTGCAATATGCCTCCTGCAGCTTCCATTTTATTAAATAAGATGCTAATCTTGAATAAGATGAAGACCTTATTCCTCTTTGAAGATCTTCATTGAAGATCTTATTCTCTGAAAATCTTCAAAACAGTTAATCTTTAAATAAGTTCAAAAGGGTCACCACTCCAGTACCATTAAAAAAGTCAAAGGCTAATTTTGCCATTATGCTTCATGCTTTGGGTACCAAATTAGGCAATAGTGCATAATTAAGGACTATTAAGTCCTATTTCTTTAAAAAGTACAACAAAAAGATACCCCAATGAACTCAAAGGGATCCAAAAAAAGATGTGCTTTGGCTGAACTATTTTTTCCTAGCCACAGGAATAGAAAACAATTTTTATAAACTAGCTATCACTTACAGAAGACAATTTTGACATTATATATGTTCAGAATTTTGACATTTATTCTTCTGAGGAAAATTTTTTCCTAACACAAAACAAAAAAACTAACCATCATATCATACACATTTGTTTAAAATGTCTGCAATATAAAAATGTACAGATTACAAAAATAAAGTTTCCAATAACATGGTTTAAATATGTACAGAATAGAAATGTAGTCATGTTTGAAGTCAAAATACTTCAATTAGCTACTTTATCAACATAAGCCATTATTAAACATACTACCAACTCTTATTCAGTTAAAGAAATGCCATCTGTTTGGAGGCCTTTTGATTGCCTACAAAATTATTTCTATTTAAGTTTGTATTTTCACACTCAATTGAACTTCTCAAGATGTTTAAAAAGAAATTGCAATACAGTGTTCAAATTTATCTTAAATTTTCCGGATCACTGCAAGTCAGAGCACAGACTAACGAGCATTATTATTGTTAGGAGGAGCAGTCGATGCAGGTGGCAGTGGAGGTGGCGGTGGTGGTGGTAGTGATAGCAATGCCAACAGTGGGTCATATGTATTCCGAACACAATCCTGAGGCCATCCCCAAGCTGGAGGTGGAGGTGGAAAGCGATATGCCTCATTACTAACTGTTCCAAACGATGGGGGAGGAAAGGAACACTGCTGCCTTCCAGGATGTCCCCTTCTTGGATGCTGAAAGAAAGCTGAAGGCTTCTGAAATTCTGTATACTCAGAACAGTAATGCTGTGGAGGTCTTGCTTGCTGCCTGAAGGAATACGAAGGAATCGGTGGACGAGGAAATCTACCCCTTGAAAAGGAGGGATTTAATCCTCCCCTAAGAGATCCACGTGAATAATTTGAAGAATGCTGTCCCCTGGGCTGATAATGATTTCCATTCTCATCTATCAAAGAAAAGAAATTAAATTACTAGGATGTTTGATGGTTCATATCTGTATGGAAAAAATCTATCTCCAACAAATCCCCATGTAAAATTTAGTGTTTTAAATCAGAATCCTTCCACTTGTCCCTAATCACTTGACTCACTGAGTCACAGTGGCAATTATCTTAAATGCACAACGTGTGAAGCTTAATTAACTCTGAAACTTCCCCACAGTTTTCTCCTCAACATTTACAGCCTCTAGCCCTAGAGACAGAGGAAACAAACCATCTTACAAGTCAACGCCACGGACATCAGTAAAGCCCTGTGAGGGAACTGAAGCATTTTATGGCAATGACGGCAAATCATTTAGGACCATGACTGATCCAGAAAAGTCAAGTGGAGAGACACCTATGAATAGTCCAAGTGTTCTGCTACCTTATTTGACCATAGTCAAATATTCCAAAAAGCCAGGATCCACATTCTTATTCGATTTAGCCATGGCCTTTATCTAACTGGCACGGTGCATGCAACTATGGAGACTAAGGTCACTTTTGGCTTCAATAAAGCAAAAAATCACCTCTGTTCACTTATTATTTACAATACTTATATCCTGCCTTTCTGCCTTCACAAGGGCCACCAAGGTGGCTAACAATTAAAAACATACATGATGAAAATCACATTTTAAAAGCGTTCAAATCAACTCCTCCTGCAAACCACATTGTTTAAAACAATTTAAAAACAAATTTAAAATATTTACAAAGACATAAAAACAGCAATTAAAACACTGGTCACGAAGGAAGGCTCACCTGCTGGCAGAAGATGGCAATAGAAGGGGACACACAAATCTCCCTTGGGGGAGAGTTCCAGAGCTTTGATGCCATGACCAAGAAAGCCCTCTCCCAGGGTGCCACCTGCCTAACCTCAGAAGGCAGGGGCACCAAAAGTTAGTCTTGCAGTAATGCTTCAAAAATAGTGAAAGAGCCCCTGATGAAGCCTGACAGTGAAACACACAAGGAATTTTTGGAAATTTTATTACTCAGGAAATTTAACTGAGTAATAAAATATATTTCACCTGATTTTGTACCATCGGCCTTGGCCTTATTTTTAATCTCCTGTGATGGGTGCATCTTTTTATTTTCTTGTTATCCTAGGAAGGTTCTCAATTTATGAAGATTACATAAAATTATTTGTATCTTGTCCTCACTTTCTTGCCCTCAACCCTCTATTCCATTGTTCTATCCAAAATCTGGATGCCTTTAGCACAGTACCGTTCAACAACGGCTTATGTCAATCTCGCATAGCTAGAGATATGAGGGATCTTCTTCTTCCACCAATTCCAGTCTTTCCATTCCATATTCAAACAATATTGTCTGAAATGTCACCATATAAAAGCTGCCTTAACTGCTAAATTTTGCAATGCATTATACTGATTTAGAGCATTCATCTTATACTCCAATTTGGTTTAAGGGTTCAATAGTAAACTTCCCTAATAGCATTCACTTACTAGATTCATTTTGTGATCGAAACTTCTTTCTTCTTTCAGATTTCTTTTGTTGTTTTGCTGCTTTCTCTTTTTCGTCATCACTAAAATCTAAAGCCTAGATCAAAACAAATCGAAGAAAACCCCAATGATTCCAAATGAATTATTTTATTAGCAATCAACAAGAAATATTAATCATGTACCCGGTACTTGGGAATCAGGTAAAATGGCCTCCACCGGTGCAAGATGCGAAAAGAAGCTGATTTTACCCATTCCTCCTTTCTGTTGTGATACATTTTATTTGCAAGGGTTTTTGAAGCAAAAGGCAAATTGTTTGGGGACTGTGGAGAAAGAGTCACTCTTAATTCTTCCTATGAACTTCAATCACTAGACTCAACCAAATAGCACAAAGATGTAGAGAGTAACTTAATAGGCTGGATCCAGCCAAATTTTCCCTCCATTTCACCAATTGCCCTGCTTACTACAGCCACCATTCCTCATAGCTTTTTAATGTGCAGGCCCCATGATCTTGAGCATAGCCCTTTTCGGTAGTCAGATGGGACCCCATCTTCCTTTTTCACCAGAAGTGTGGGCTGGTTCCAACATACAGATTTTATGCCAAGTATGCTTCTTAAACTGGAATCAGACCTTCAAGTGGGAAATCAGTACAAAAAGTATGTACTTGCCTCAGCTGGGGGCTCTTCATCATTCTTCCATGATGCATCAGATCCTTTCTCCCTAGCAGATTATGCAAAAACAGACATTATAGCACAGCTGCACCAGGCATTAGTGATCTCTGCAAATGGCTATTGCTCAATAATCTGAGGAAAGGCTAGGAAATGCATGCAACAGGAAAAGAGGACTAAGAAAGGACTGAACAGGCTGTGTGTGCATTTTCCATCTAGGTGCACAGTATCCATGCTGAAACTAATAGCAAAGAATAGCCACCTAAGTAACAACAGTTCTAAAGAGAAGAGAGTCTTTCAAGCGTAACAAACATTTGAAGAATCAAGACTTACTGTTTCATTTTTTCTGGAAATACATACTGAGTGAAGCTTTCAACCGATGGAGCAAAATACACATCATCATGTGCTTTAATACCTTTTGCTTCAATGTGCTCAGGACTGTTAAACTGTAGCGCATAAAAAGGGTGTGACACAGGGCCAAACACCTCAAACACCTGCAAAACAAAGGAGGTTAAGAGTTTCAATGATTATTACACAATCTCTCTTGAAAAGACAATTTGCCTGCTGTATTCCCTATAATACAATTAAGTCTGTTTTCCATGCAAGTTGACAAATAATAGACAATGTTCCTGGGAGAGAAGAGCTACAATCTCATTACAGAAGCTATTTTATATACAGAAGCTGTTGTATAGAGATTTGTGAAACTACGTACATTGCCTTCATACAGTACTGAAGCATATTTGTGCTCAATCTGGATGTTCATCTGAATCTTCCTCATTACTGCATACTGGACTCATCTACATTCCTGTTCCCACATAGTTCACAGGGGATGAGGAAAGGTGCCTATAACTATTTTAATAAATAATTAAAATGAAACACTGCATAGCTACAAGTCCAGGGAAGGTCTTTATATGTATGTAATTCCAGGAGAGACTGCAGAGTAATCTGAATGCCACCACCACATATCTGGCCCCTGCATACTAAGACTCTTATGATTATGACCACCATGCACACTGACAGCTGAATCATGCCTCAATCGAGGCTTCATGCCCCTGTATTCATTGGCACAAACACCTCTTAAGAGCCAAACTACAAGTGAGAAGTGAATTTTCAGAAGCAACTGTCATTCTTTAAAAAAAATTCTGCAAGGCCCTGATCTGGATCAGGCACTGGTGGCCCCAGAAGTTCTTGTTCTCCCCCCCACCCCATGCCACCTTTCAGGTGCAGAAACAGCCCTATTTGGGTACTTGAGAGGGTATGGGGGAGGAGAGAACAAGAGCTCCTGGGGCTGTCGTACCATGCACCTGATCTGGATTGGGCCTTGCAAAAACTTTTTAATTACCTTGTACTCAAGGGGAGGGGGAGGGGCTAGATGGATGAAGTACAAGGATTGCTAGTATGAATATAAAAGGAAGCAGTAATGAACACAGCAGGAGAATTGTGACTGGAGACTGTAGGTCAAAATTATTGGCATGTGAGGCAAATAATCAGCAAGGATAACTCATTCCCAGTGGCTAAGCCTGAAGGGGTGAAACCTCTGCTGTACAGAACTTCTCTATGGACTGAGTAGTAAGTAACTCCATAGGATGTCTGAATTAAGACTCTAGGAATGCTGTACCTAAGAATTCCTATGGAACTGTGTCTTTCTTTACAATCTTTCCTGCCCTGGTAACAAATATATGACTGGTCAATACCACAGCTGCCAGGCATTAATGCTCTATGCTATGTCTTGTTCTGGTGTGTCCAGTTGAGTATGAGTAAGGAAACTTGCTCCTAAGTGTAGGAGATGTAGTTTCTGGTTTGCCCATTTCCTTCTATTTCTGCACTTATCAATAGGTTGGTGGGCAAAAGAATGGTTTCACCATCTTAGAAGGATCCAAACCCATGACTACTGTTTGTCACATGGCCCATGAACTACTGTGGAGTTGACTAGGAAAACTTCTCAAACTGAGCAACTGTTTATCTTGTTGCTATTCCAGTGTCCCTCTCCGTTGCCTCACAAATGGCTCGATGCTCCTGAGGTTCCCATTCCTGACCCAAACCCTTGTGAGGAAGGGCTACTGGACATTCTACCAGAACTTGCTCAGCTAAGTGATCTACAGAGCCATGTGGCTACTGTGGCAGAAGTAATCATGTTTCCTTCCCTGTGTGTATCTGGAAAAAAGGAATATGGTTGCAGGAGGGATTTGAACTCACATCTATGTTCATCCCAAGGCTTTTCCCATACATGCCGTACTCCTGTGTATAGGAAGGGTACCATGTTCTGCATGTAACTGGCAGTGGGCTACGGTCAAGAGGTATATGGCTGTATCAAGCTACTCTTAGCTTGGCCACTGATGTAAGTTTTTCAAAATATGACAATCTGAAAAAATTCCAGATAACTTCTGATAAAGGATCTGATACCCTAAATTAAGAAGAGGAGATTGGATTTATACCCCGCCCTTCACGCGGAGTCTCAGACTGGCTTACAAACTCCTTTCCCTTCCCCTCCTCACAACAGACACCCTGTGAGGAAGGTGGAGCTGAGAGAGCTCTGACAGAGACTGCTCTTTTTCAAGAACAGCTCTTATCAGAACTACGGCTTGCCCAAGGTCATCCAGCCAGGTGCAAGCGGTGGAGTGGGGAATCAAACCCGGTTCTCCCAGATTAGAGTCCGCACACTTAACCACTACACCAAAACCACTACACCTCCAGATACCATCTCTAAAATGGAAGATCATCATTTGTAACCATCCTGAAGCACTTTATTTTGTATATATTGTAATTGTGTGTTTTATCTTGTTTTATATATTGGCATGCGTGCCTTGTTGCTAGCCGCCCTGAGCCCGCTTGGCGGGAAGGGCGGTCTATAAATTAAAGTAAATATAAAAGGTAATCAAACTTTTATAGGCACTTAGCAGTGGCTTTGCTAATTTTCCTCCCTTGTGTGTCTCCACTTGTTCCTTCTAATAGCACTTGGGGTTCTCCTTCCCACTCCTGATAGAGGGCTGGTTTGGTGTTCCTGGCTGAAAGGGAACAGTGTAGTACAGTGGTGTTTTTATCTCCTTCTTACAATCTATCCATCTAGCGCTGCTCATACAGCTATCACCTTAAGCAGAAATTGGAACCAAAGAAAATATTTTAAAAGACCTTAGTATTATTTCTCTTATATTTGATTATTACACCTATGAATTTTGCCACTGAGAGGGTGACACGATCATTGGTATCCGATAGTAGCCATGGCACCTGGGCTCACACATTTAGCAGTTCCATATCTTTAAGTAAAGGGGTGACTAAATCAGCCCTCAACTCATCGAGTTTAGGGCACTCCATAATCATATGTTCAATGGTTTCGATTGTATGATATGAGCATCTGCATGTTCTGTTAGAGTATGATACTTTATTATATCTGCCCTCCGAGGGAAGAACGTTCAGTCTTGCCAAAGTAAAAGCTCTTCTTAGTTTTGGGACTGTCAATTGATAAAAATATTTTGGCAGTTGCATCGGGAGGGCAATTCCCAAATGAAGTGTTGACCCTTCTTACAATATATGGGAAAGTGTTTTGGGGCGTGTGTGTGTGAAAAATTAGCTTGGGCAATGCAGAATAATATAAAGGTTGGTTTATACTAATTTCTTGTCCCTTCTTTCCCCCCTTTAACTGATGTTTAGCCGCTTTCATTATTACCTTGCCTTTTTGAGAACAATGAATATGCATCTTCTTTTGTCACCAAGTGATTTTTTTCCTGCATGGGAATCAAACCCGGATCTCCCAGATCAGAGTCCACGCACTTAACCACTACACCAAAATTAAGCATAATATGATTTAGCATTCTGATTTTATTTTGAGGTTTGTTCACTAAATATAGTTCATATTGGGCTGGATACGGCCAGCATCTTCAATCTATCTCACCCAATTCTATTCTTTACTACAGCCCTTGTTCTCATGGCTTTTGTCCACCCAAGTCTCATGATCCCTAGCACTGCACTTCTGGTGGTCAAAATGGACCACCTCCTCCCTTTCTCAGCAATGCAAAAGCTGACTGGGGCCAACCAATAAATTTTATGTCCCAACAGCAACAAGTACAACTAAAATATTTGATGAGAAGAAAAAAAATCTTGTGACTTTATATTAAAACAAGTGCAAAGCTTTATATGAAAATTATGTTTATTATAAAAGGTAAAGGTTCCCTTGCTCGAAAGCCAGTCGAATCCGACTCTAGGGTTGCGGTGCTCATCTCAGTTTCAAAGCCGAAGAGCCAGCGCTGTCCGAAGACATTTCCGTGGTCATGTGGCCGGCATGACTAAACACCAAGGCGCACGGAACGCTGTTACCTTCCCACCGAAGTGGTACCTGTTTATCTACTTGCAATTTCTTGCTTTCGAACTGCTAGGCTGGCAGGAGCTGGAACTAGAGACGGGAGCTCACTCCGTCATGCGGCACCCGGGTCTTGAACTGCTGAACTACCGACTTTCCACAGCCTGCAGTTCAGCGTCTTAACCACTTGAGCCACTGCAGCTCCTTATGTTTGTTATAGTAATCACTTAAAAAACCTATTAAAACAATACTGAACGAACCAATGTGGTGCAGTAGTTAGAGCACTGGACTGGATCTAGGAGTCCTAGATTTCATTCCCCACCCTACCATGGAAGTTTGCTGGGTGACCTTCAGCCAGTCAAGCACTCCAGCCTAAGCTACCTCATAGGGTTGCTCTGAGGATACAATGGAGGAGGGGAGAATGTCATAAATCACTCCAGGTCCCCACTGGGGAGAAAAGTGGGATATAAATGAAGCAAAATAATTACATAAATAATTAAATGTAAGAAAAAGATTGATGGCAATGAAAAATGCTGACACTAGTTTTGGCACACCCAAAGAAGTGTTCACAACATGCTGTAGATGTGGTTGTCCACCCATCTCTTTCAAAAGAACTCAGATGTTGTCTGTGGAAGTCACTAGGACTCCTCATGACTTGCATTACTACATAATGCTCTATCCTATTAAATCAAAATTAAAGCTAAATTTTTTATGTGTATGTCTCCTCTCACGGTGGAAGGGACATTGTAATCATGCATCAGGTAACTTCATAACATGATTTTTTCTTTGAATTAAAATATAGATAACGGTTCTCTTCCTTCACCACTGATTTATCACTAGTAAGACATATATGTACTCTCTCACACAATTCCTACAGAAATCACCTGAAAAACATTAAAATGCCAATCCTGCATAATATTAAACTGGCAACGGCATCCATTCAACTGGACAACAAAAAATTAGGAATTGAATATTTTCTACATAAAAATATAGAACTGAAAAAATTACCATTTCACTTCTTTAATCTCAGGAGTGTCAACAACAAAACATGCCATGGACTCTGGTGCAATTGCTATACTCTCTGCACCTCAGCATGAGGACTCTGATTTACTTCTTGTCTCTGCTGAGCAGGCACAGGATACTGACTAGCAACTCTGGCATCTTAGACTCAAGGTGCCTAACAAATTAGCTTTTGTACTACATCTGAGGAACAGCATTCATTCCCTCCAACGCACCATGCCACGTCACTTTCACAAGTTAAACACATGCATTACCTTCCAGAAGAAGCTGTTGCTTACCATGTAATACATCAGGATAATGCCTTTATGCTATTAACATTTGCACCTCTTTAGTTAAGTTTTTTTGTTTTTAAAATCCCATCCAGACAGGCAAATGGTTTTAGATACATTACTACACATGCAAAACTATAAGACTTATACACAAGAATATTAGGAGAAAGATGGGCTATTAATACTTAAACAAATATAAATAATCCTCACCTTTCCTATTGAATAATGATCTTGTTTGAAAAGCACACTGTCCTCATTAACTGGCGGGAGCCCTTTAAGTGATTCAACAATAACTAAAAAAAAAATAAACAAAGTTGATTTTTCCCCCCAAATACCTTCAAAGGGAACTCAAGTTTAACAATCACACTTACTAGAGACAGTTATTTAAACGACTGCTTTAAACTACAATACAACTACAGTAATGGACATAGCATATTATTAGAGCTTATTTTCATGGATGAGAGCAACTCAAATATTTCAATCCCAATATTTCTATAAATTGTAAGTAGCTCTAATTTAAGCGGTTTTTCTTTACTTCCTCCGGCTGGGCTGATCATACTGTGGAGCTACAGTCTGGCAAACTCCCCCCCTCACAATTTTATTTTTTTTAATTATATTCAGAATAAAGAATACTACTATGACAAAGCTTAATAGAGAATATTACTGTAGCTTGTTTCAGTGCATTCTCTGATGCTGTAGTAGCTTTTAGACAGAGAACCTATGATCAAAATTTTGAAAGATGTACATTGCAATCTTATGCAGGCACTTCAGCTTTGATTTCAATGGTTTTAGACTGGAGTAACTGCACTGTAAACCAGTCAACTTTCTACATTTGCTTATGGTTGGTTACTGCTACAACTGATGTTTCTATAAATTGGACTACGCTTTAGCAAAAATAAAGTTATTAGATGATTGTCAGATCACCACCGCTCTCCACTTACACCTGACTAGGGTAGTATAATTGGAGAATCTCAGATCAATGCCCTCAAAGAAACAACTGTATCACCATTACAAAACTTCACTGTAAGAGCAAAATGATGAATGGTGCCTAATATGCTAACCATGGATGTCTTGCTGACCTATCATATAGTGTTCTGACAAAAACTTCAGGCCAAGCACCTGACAGACATGAAACAAGAAATAAAAAACAGTCAAAACCTAAAGAATAACCAGAAATTGCATGATTTTAAACATCAATAATAACAATGTATATGTTAATTATTCAAAAAAGAACTAATAGTCATTGCTAAGGAGGAACACTCATTTCTAATAGTAATACAAGTGTCTCCTGAAAGGAAGTTATTCGATCCGAGGCAGTATAATATCCAAATATTCAGTTATATGCCCCTTTACAAACCTCAGAGGGCAGCAGGATCAGCCCAGGTCCACCTTTATCACAGAGACATAACCTGAAGCAAATATAATGGGAAATCCTTTTGCCATAGGTCCTCATCAGCACAAGGCTACACTGATGATGGGCACCAAAAGTCTAATGATTTTTCACTCTCTGCCCTGCTCCTTATTTACAGCACTATATTTTATACCATCAACTTAAAAATACATAAAACCAACACTGAGCAGAGCTAATATGTACTATATTTTAACAAGACAGTCTTCATTTTCTCTCACACACACTTTTTCAGGCAGGACTCATTCATTCACATCTGTGCATTTTTCATCTTCCATTTCATAGCCAGCTATGCAGCTTTTACATTTGCCAGGACCTTCTCCTGTGTACTCTAAACAGCTAATAAGATGCAATTGTAATAAGTGGAGAAATGGTTCAAAGATGGGTGTGTTAATGACGGGCCAAAAGATATTCATATGTAAGAGAAACCTGGAATTACTATTTTTGAATAGATTTTGTTATGATAAAAAGATGCAAAATGAACTAACAGTTTTTATACCAGTTTAGTGTAGTGGTTAAGTGTGTGGACTCTAATCTGGGAGAACCGGGTTTGATTCCCCACTCCTCCACTTGCAGCTGCTGGATGACCTTGGGCAAGCCATAGTTCTTGTCAGAGCTGTTCTCTCAAGGACAGCTCTGGAAAAAGCTCTCTCAGCCCCACCTACCTCGCAGGATGTCTGTTGTGGGGAGGGGAAGGGAAAGGAGTTTGTAAGCCGCTCTGAGACTCTGAGTGAAGGGCAGGGTATAAATCCAATCACTTCTCTTCTTATACATTTTAAGGAGACATTTCAAGTACAGATAGATAGTGTCTGAAGTTATGTTAGCCAAGAATGTGCATCTTTATCAAGTGGGACCATTAGCTAATGAGCATGAAGTGGCTAGTGCGGCATTATGCCAATGGAAGGAAAGTCCAAGCCACATTATCTTCCTTTATGGAAATGCGACTTAGGCCTAATTGTCACTGAAATGGTAAACTTATGTGTGGAGTCTATCACTTTGGGCTGCATTTGAGGTATCGCTGAAACAATGCAGCTGTCCCCTCATTAAGCACAACGTTCCTGTACACAGAAACATGTATGTCAAGGAGAAGGCTATACTACTATTCAGTCTAGTTTCCTATATGCCGGGATTAGCTATGTATAGAGGAAAATGATATCATGTGATCCATCAGCTGCAATATAAAGTGGTACGGACCAAAGGTTTGCTACCTATGAAAGTTAGAGAAAGAATAGCTATTTACTGCAAAAAACATAACAGCCCCAAAGCAAATTGTTTTAAAGTTTTTGTGCAATAAAACATTTCTAGAGTCAGGCACCATGGAGAGCACTGACTGCCAAGACTCCAATCAGCATACTTCACAGAAACAAGAGTAAGCTCTGTTACTACCAAACATCCACAGTTAACAAGCGTCATCTGGAATCAACTGCCAATTTGTTTAACATTCAGCATCTGAAATATTACTTCTGATTGGCCTCTGCCAAAGGAAAACCACACATTCTTGCTAGCATTAATTAGTTCCTAATTATGCAATTCAAACACTCTCTCCTACACTGGAGCCACACAAAGCTAGAGGAACCATTCACTTTGTTAAAGCTTTATCTATTCAGCTCTCAAGAATCTCTCTACACTTCAGTTTCTCAGCTGAGTAGTCCATGTGACCTTCAGATGACCTTTTCATCTAGCATGTAGGCTTTTTGTATTGCAACTGAACAAAAAAGCGAAGACTCATAAGGGAAAAGAGAGCTGTTGGTATTTTAGTGAAGAGGCTTTGCTAGAAACAGCCTGTACATTCTTTGAAATTAAAACTGATAAACTGGATCACACCGTTCTAAACGGCTGTGAGTCATGCAGTGGGGTGGGGGGATATTCCCTATATTAAGTGTTTTAAATTAGGAATCGTAAATCACTTTGGGAGCTATCATCAAGCCTCTAGGTAACAGCATTTTGAGTAAGGCATACAGGAATAAAATGGACAAACAAGTATGAGAGAGTCTGGTCAGGGTTAAACTTTGTTGTACATGGCATAATTCTCATGAAGGCTGGAAAACAAAGCAGAAGACACCTAACAAATCTGAGGGGCAGTGGCATGAGACAGTGTGTCCGGATGCCTGTACAGGAATCATATGACAAAAAAGTTTAGGATAGATTGGCACAGAGTGCTTTAGGGCTTCTGAGAAGAGCCAAGTGTGTCTATTAGCAGAGGTTATACTCACTCCTCAGCCTTATCAACACTGTATTACACTCATCCTCACATTCAGTAACTAACTTCCACACAAACTGCAAGTGAGACACTCATGAGAAAATGACTAACACATGCACCCTTGGCTTACCTAAGTTGTCAACAATGCTGGAAACTTTCCCAAAGGGCACCAGTTCAACAGATTCTGGCAGAAAGATTGTCAGATCTTCAACAGGAAGTGACTTCTGTTTGATGCAAAATGTATTTTCATTCCAAAGCACCACTACTACTGCTCATCATAAAATAATATTCACAGTTGTTTGTGCAGTGTGCACCAAAATCTACAATGTGCTGTTGACTGCTCACATCATTTCCAATATTAGCTAAGCGTAAGGACCATGGATGGACAAACACTATGTCTAACTGAGAGGAAGTAAGGTAGGAGATTAACACCAAACTACCACAGGGCAAGTAATGGCCTGTTTGCTTCCCTTAAACCTAGGGCAGTGATGGCGAACCTTTTAGAGACCGAGTGCCCAAACTGCGACCACTAATTTATCGCAAAGTGCCAACACGGCAATTTAACCTGAAAACTGAGGTTGTACTTTAGAAAAAACAACTCATACCTTAACTTAAGATGGTTCAAACAAAGTAAGGAAAGCAATCCCAAATGCTTTCATTTACTTACAATTATTTGGCAGAGAATTCAACACTTTAATGATGGTCTGGGCCTGGCTGGGGCGATGGCACATGTGCCCACAGAGAGGGCTCTGAGTGCCACCTCTGGCCCCCATGCCATAGGTTCGCCACCACTGACATAGGGCCTTATGGAGGAGGAAAAGAGAAGACATCCTCAGTGTACACACATCACATGTGGAATTTTTCCTTTGCCTCCTCCCCTATCATTTGAACTGCAAGCGGGAATGGTTGCAAAGGAGACTGCCTATTTTCAGTTTAAAGAATCACAAGGAGGGAACTATCAGAGAAGAGTTACCACTGAATCTACATCCCATGTCCTTTAGGATGTACTAATGCAGCACTGAGAAGTGTCACTGGTGAAGGAAGGAATTTGATTCAGAGGAAATGTGTTATGCAGGCTTAACTGCCACCTCACTTGGGATCATTTAACTGGCAGTTCTACCTTCTTAAGAAGTTTATCACTGCTCCAACATTTCAAAAGAGGCCATTTGGGAAGAGTGTGTGTGTTAAATTCCACTAGGGGGGGGAGGAAACACAGGGGTTGGAGCAGAAAATAGTTAGATGTCATTTGAGTTGCCACAAGTTTCTGATCATTCCTAAATGTCTTAAGCAACTGTTATACATATTTCTATATAACATGCAGCTGGATCCTAAGATGCAGATGCAGCAATAGGTTTCAAGCATTTTCTAAGACATTTTTGGAGATTTGGGAAACTACACATAGTGATCATAGGACACTCAGAAACTAATAAAATTACAGATTAACAAGTAGGTAAACTTATGAATAAAAATCAACAAAGCCAAGTATCAAAACTCATCTTATATAGCAATGTTCTCTGAATCAAGTTTCTTCCTTCACCAGTACCTCTCTCCAATCACACATGAAAGGGAAAATTCCATTTCAAACCCTTCTGCTGAAATACTAAATGTAGTGGGGGAAGCGAAAATACTTGGGAGAGAATAGGCAGAAAAAGCCTTCCTGTACCCAATGACCCTCCTCTTCCAAACACCCCTCTTCAGCATAGTTTTAAATTGTCTTTTTTTTCCAGCTGAACTCAAACTGGAAGACTACAGCAGACAGAAAAACAGATTAGGGGATAAGTACCTACAGAAAAAATTACACACCTTTCACTTCCTTTCAAGCGCTCCTCTACCCGCATATTCCAAATGTCTCAATAAATACCAGCTTGAGAAGCTAATGTTTGATTTGATTCTATGGTAATGATGCAAAGAATGTTCTTTGAGATACTTACTTCAGATACTTCTTTTCCCCCAACACTCTGAGAGTCTGCATCATTCTTACATTGCCGGTCATCTTCCTCAAATACCACTGGAGAACAGGAAGAAGTTGAAGAGACAGAAGAGGAACTGTCTGTATCAGTATCACTGCATAAAAAGTAAAATTTTACCCATTTTCAGCTTACATTCTCGTTTAACGTCTCAGACATAAAATATGGATCCTCTTACAGAGGAAGAAGGTTTGCTGGGTAATGACCAGGGTCTACACATTTTGCCTGGCCTTGGTAGACAGCCAAAAGTTGGTGCTTACCACTAACCATGCCCTTCAAAAGAAAGTAGCAACATTTTGATTTAAATAACTGCTGAATTTAACAGATGCACTTTCCCTGCCTCCTCCCCAGTAGGAACAGGAGTGAGGGAGAAAACAAGATGCTGGTTTTGCCTCCTCCTCCCCAACAAATCAAGCCTCTAGGCTCTGAAGATGGGCAGGGCCTTTCACTAGTATAAAACATGTACTCATGAGTGGCAAGTGCAGTTTGCAGATCCCAGATAATGATCCCTTCTTACAACAAGAAGATACAGCATCCAGAGCTAAAATAAAAGGTGCACAAAAAGCAACTGTTCATTGAACAAACTACTGTTCAATATGTTGGATATTAACTCTTGACTCTCACAATGCAAACATCTGTGTAAAAAGTAAGCACACCTAGGCAAGTGCTGACACAGCACATTTTTGCAAGGGGGAGACAAACCCAGATTATGCTAGTAACAGTAACATACAAAATTAAAAAACGGCTGCCTCAAATACCACTGCATATTATTACAACAGCCCTTAATAATTTGCCAGCATCCACGTAAAGAGAGTTCAGTGGTAGGACCTACAGCTATGTAAACAGCATAGGCTAGTTTATATGAGAAACAGCAACAGCCTTAATCCCTATATAAATTGATAACAAAGTGAGTTGACTTCACCAAATGACACAAACGAAACTTGTATTTCGCTCTACAAGCCAATCTGCACACAACAGGTTTAGGAGACCTGAACACAGAACACCTGCCTTGAGACTTCCAAAACAAAGAGCATCTGGATGTCAAATGGCAAAGCTTTAACAACTGCCTGCTTCTACTAGATCCGTGGAAGCTGGAATCAGCGTCGTCGGGGCTTGCATCTCTGCAACAGCGATAAGGAGTCCTTCTTCATGGTCCACGGGGTCACGTAAGGCCTCGGTATCCTCTGCCAACAGCCGCAAGCAAACCAAACTTTGAGGCAAAGTTTTCACCGTTGTCGTTAACACGCACCAACTGGAGCTGCGTGTTGTTCTCCAGAAACGCAAAAGGGAAGAAACACGGTCCCTGCTCTCCGAACAAGTCCCAAGAAGCGTTAATTAGGGAGGCAGTTACCCACCTCTCGGATTCCGTGGAAGCGCTGCCGCCTTCGTCCACCGACGGTTCCTTCTTCAGGGCGAAAACATCCCCGGGGCCCTGGCCTTGCCCCTCCGGGCCCGGAGAGGCCAGCCGAACCTGCGCCGCCCCCTCGCCAGGGCCTCCTGCCAAGCCCAGACTAGAGGAGGGGCCACTGAGATCTAAGGGCGGCGGCGGCGCCCCTTCCTCCGGACCAGGCAGGCCCTCTCCTTCTGCGGGTGCCGGGGAGTCCTGGCTCCGCTTCTCGCCTCGTCCAGCGCCCGGGTCTCCGCCCGCAACGCAAACCGCTCTCGGCCACGTGCAGTCACGAGGGAAGGCGGATCCGTTCATGGGAGTCGAGTCCGTGGCGGGGACCTCCAGGAGGCCCGGAATTTGTCCATCAACGGTGCCTCCAGCAGGGACAGCCGCGGAGGGCCCCGCCTCCCCCGCCTGAAGATGCCCTTCGGTTGCCGCTCCACCAGCCCCGCTCCGCCCCTGGGGGGCCGTCTGTCCCACCTCCGAGAGGGTCGAAACGTTTTCCTCCGCCACGCTGCAGCTCCCCTCGGGACCCGCCGCCTCAGCTGCGACGCTCAACGTCTCTAGCTGCTCCGCCACTTCCATCCCCGCCGAGCCCGAGGACACCTCACCACACCACGCGGGCAGCGATCACAACTTCACCGGGCGCCGCTACTTCCGCTTCCGTCCAAACAGAAGAGCAGACTGCGCATGCGTAGAAAGGCTGCCGCTCTTGGTTCTCATTCTCTTGCTCTGTACTACGACTTTGTATGCGAGTGCAGATACAAAAGCAGCACTAGGAGGGTGCCTTAATTACCCAAGTGCTCCGATTACCTGATTTTTAAATATTGTCTTTTGATCTGCAACTGACAAATAATTAAGAGTTAAATGTAATAATCACAAAAATAAAGTACAGTAAAAAAAGCAAGACTGAGTAGGAGAAATTTCAACAGAGCTACCATAAAAAACCTTTGTTGCTGTTCAGTCGCACAGTCAAGTCTGACTCTTTGCGACCCCATGGACTGCATCATGCAAGACCCTCCTGTCTTCCGTGGAGTGGGAACCCTAATCATCTTGCTCACCCTCTTCTGCACTTTTTCCAGCTCTGTGAGATATGATGACCAGAACTGTGCACAGTATTCCAAATGAGGCTGCATCATGGATCTATAAAAGGTAAAGGTAAAGGTTCCCTTGCTTGAAAGCTAGTCGAATCCAACTCTAGGGTTGCGGTGCTCATCTCCGTTTCAAAGCCAAAGAGCCAGCGCTGTCCGAAGACGTTTCCGTGGTCATGTGGCCGGCATGACTAAACACCAAGGCGCACGGAACGCTGTTACCTTCCCACCGAAGTGGTACCTATTTATCTACTTGCAATTTTCTTGCTTTCGAACTGGTAGGTTGGCAGGAGAATTAATAGTTATACCTACGTATTTAATATTAATAGTTATATTGTATATTTTTATATGTGTATGTTTGGTGGGGTGTGCATAGGATATATTAGCCATGTGGCTCTTTTGGTTGATGATACTTGCTAGTGTGACTCTGCATGAGCCACAGAGTGAATGTTGCTGGTATAACAGCTAAATAGCATCTTAGAGACCAACAAGATATTTTGGGTATAACCTTTCAAGAGTCAAAGCTCCCTTCATCAAATGTCTGGACTTGAATCTAGCTGTTCTACTGAATACCAACACAGCTACTCTCTGAAAATATTGCTGGTATAGGGTTAAAGTTTTTAGAGTGCTCAGTGATGTTGCTTATTTGATTAGTTTATGTATCTTTTTGTGTTTTTGATCTTTGTCAGTCTGGCTGTGGCACCGATACAACTGTTATGTATGGAATGAAATGAATGTATATAGAGCTTGAGTCTGATGCAAGATATTGTAAACCAACCTATCAGAACCAGGGAAGTTCTGGAGGGAAACAAACTGATTGGTCTTTATGTACAGAATATGAAGAAGAAGAGATTGGATTTATACCCCCCCTTCACTTGGAGTCTCAGAGCGGCTTACAAACTCCTTTCCCTTCCCCTCCCCACAACAGACACCCTGTGAGGTGGGTGGGGCTGAGAGAACTCTGACACAAACTGCTCTTTTTCAAGGACAGCTGTGCCAGAGCTTGTGACTGACCCAAGGTCACATCAGCAGGTGCAAGTGGAGGAGTGGGGA